ACCCTCCCCCCCCCCCCCCCCCCCCCCCATCCACATTTGATATTTTTAACAGCAAGTTGCAGAAAGAGCACTTGTTTTAAAGAAAAGGGAAAATAAATAAAAAAATAAATTAATAAACAAACTAACAAAATACAGAAATATGGCTTTACAGTTAAAATAGTAACAATCAATCAATAACCCCCCCCCCCCACACCCCCCCCCCCTCTTTTTTTTTTTTTTTTTTTTTTTTTCTTTTTCTTTTTTTTTCCCGTTTCCATTAAAAGAAATTCTGCTGACGTGTCTACGAACTACAGTTTGTCTGCGTGGTCTACGGATGAGTCGGTGGCGCGTGACGTGTATGTGTTTTTAGCTGGTTAGAAGGTGGGACTTGCTGGCATAACCTGGGTTTTTCAAAGTGTCAAGGCCTGGAAGTGTTTGCCCAGTTCCAGAGTCCAGAGGCGACCCTGAGAGGACGCACAGAGACAGAGCTGCCAGTCTATGCACACAAACCTGCTGAGGTCAGTGGTTCACGGCCCGTGTGTTCACTTCGTTATCCTCCATCCATGTCCTGTCTGACGCATGTGGGTGTGTGTGTGTGTGTGAGAGAGAGAGAGAAGGGAGGGGGCGTGCATGTGTGCATCGGTTGGGAAAATGTGTCTTGTGCCACTTTGAGTTGATGTCGTTCCGACTTCCCAGCAGTGTGAGAGAGTCGTGCGTGTGTGCGTGTTTGTGTGTGTGTGCGATTGGGAGTGTTGTGGTAGTAGCCTGCCTGCTTGTTTTAAGAGTCTGAGTAATCATTCCCGTATGCTGGCAGAGTAAGAGAACTGCGGGAAGTGCGTGCGCTGATCGGAGTCCTCTCCGTCTAAACTGTCATCTGAAGGAGTAAAAAAAAATAATTAAAAAGTAAATTAAAATATATATATATTTATTCAAAAGGTTATAAATAGGGATATCTGATATTAACTTTTTGCCGATATTGTCCAAACACTTTGCCACGCCCCCTGACCCCCAAAATTGAAACACTATTGAACACCTGGCAATATTTTTTTTATTTATCTGTACGATCCCCTGATTATTAAAAAAAGATTAATTAAATGTGCTGCAATGCTGCCATCTAGTGACTTTCACTTTTATATACAGCTGTTTTTCCCCTAAACTATTTTAGGGCGAAATCCAGGCATTGCGTTATCGGGTTTTCATTATCGGAGGAAAAAATTGATGACGATTCTTACAGATATAACATAATTCTGCTAATATCAAACATCCCAAGTTATAAAGACGATTTTTGATCTACTCACACTTATCCGGTGGCGTTATCGTGATGGTTTGTGCTGTGAACTCATCGTCAAAGTACCGCGTGTCCGTCTCCGACGTGACCTGGGGCTTAAAGGGCGGAACGAGCTGAGAGGAGAGGAAGAATCAAATCTGTCCTCAGAACATTATCTTTTGTTTATATATGTTTTATATATTTTTTGATCACATCCTCACCTTTTTCTCAGTCACATCCTGCCAGTTGATGGACGCGAAAAACTTGTGGCTCATCACTTCTTTGGCGTCGTCTGCTCCACCCCCGAGCCTGTAAACCGTAAAAACAAGCGAACCGATCAGCCGGCTTTTTTTAAAATTTTTTTTTTTAACGGCTTCACGGAAATTGCTGTTGTGTTGTTTTTCCCTTCCGCTCGTTCTAGAACGCATTTATTCTTCATTTCCTTATAACTCACACTAACAGAGGTGCGTGCAGCCTGTGGGCAGAGCTCACTGAGCTTATTTTAGAAGTGTTTTGACTCCTGAACAAAACAACAATCAATTACGTGCCTGTGTGGCCATTACCTGGTACCAAAACTAATCACCGAGACGGGGAGGCAGGAATAACAGGGTTACATGTGCTTTACAGCCAAACATGTGGCGTTTAAGGTGAGAAGTCAGGTTCAGGGACGAGGTGTGAAAGTAGTCAGTAACAAAAAAAAAATTTCACTGGTTATTTTTAAAATAATTTTTATATGGGTACATATTTACGGAACACCTTTTGTATTCTGATTAATCACGATTATTTGTGATTTTAGTGGATTTCGGGTGTTATGATATGTGGGTATTTTAAGCTTGAGGCGCTATAGTAAAACTCTTTAATTTCCCCTTTAGTTTGTGCAAATAACAGGTGTAGTTACAGTGTACTAGAGCAGGGGTCCCAAACCCCGGTCTGGGGACCGGTGCCGGTCCATAAGAATATAATATAAAATAACTTTGACAGCCGTAAAGACCACCACATACCGCTGTTTAGGGTCCTTTTTGAGCAGGCCGGCTAACAGGGCCTTAGCGTCAGGAGCTAGGTTCTTGGGGAACCGGATTTCCTCCATGAGGATGAGCTCGAAGAGACGCTCGTGGTCCTGGTTGTAGAAGGGCAACCGGCCACACATCATTTCATACATGACCACGCCCAGCCCCCACCAGTCCACTGCTCGGCCGTAATCATTGTCCTCCAACACCTGATGGAGCAGAAATACAAAAAAAAAAAACAAACAAAAAAAAACAACGGTGACATACAGTCAACGACAGTGAGACAAGGTGACTCTTAAAAATTAAACGTAAACAGCATCTTGATTAATGTTTACAAATTCCCTCCATCACCTCCAGGGGGTGCTATAATGGTAGGTGTATCACCCCGGTGTGTGTGTGGTATATTATTTCTGTGTATAAACCTGATCCTTTCATTCCTCCAGACTAAACAATATTTTTTGGTGCTTATATTTTTAGATGTATATTTCCTCAGGATGTATTTACTGCACCGGTGTCTGTGTGAGGAGATAATCAATAACCTGGGGCCGCGGTGTTGTTATGGTCAGGCTGGCTGTGAATCCAAAAGTTACAACCACTCTTTGGGAGAACTCGGTATTTTCTGGACCAGTTCCTGATTGGTTGTTGGATTATAACCAACAACTCTTCCAGTCGCACGACTTCTGGGCTTCACTTCATAATCTTGGTCACAAAAGATCGGAAGCAACTGTTGCCTTACCTCCGGTGCCAGGTACTCTGGGGTTCCACAGAAGGTCTTCATGGTGGCGCCATCTGTGATTCCCTCTTTACATAATCCAAAGTCTGTGATCTTTATGTGGCCGTCCTTGTCTAACATGAGGTTCTCCAGCTGTGCAGAACAACAGTCACGTTTAAGTCAAACGACCTGACGGCCGCAGCAGGAAACAGAGTACAGTTAAGATTATGATTAGGGATGTCCGATAAAATCGGCCGACCGATATTAGCATAAATGATGTAATATCTGGTAATAAAAACCCCAGAACAATGTCTTGGTTCAACAAATGATGTGTGCCCTAAAAAATTGGTTTGGGGAAAAACGTCTGTATATGAAAGTGAAAGCCACTAGATGGCAGTACTGCAGCTCATTTTATGAATCTATTTTGATAATCAGGGGATTGTATGCAGAACGCTGGAGCCAGAAACTCATACAGTGAAAGTTAGTATCGGACATTCCTAATTATGATGTGTTTCACTGAAAAAATTTAAAACAATCACATACGAACTAGAATTGTGACTTACTGTGCTAAAAATATTGCTTTGGCAAAAAAAAAAAAAAATTCAGAGCTGCAAACTGTCAAAACTGCTCCTTAACAAACTACAGTAACTTTGTCGTCTTTGCAGACTCACCTTCAAATCCCTGTAAACAACGTTGCGGGAGTGTAAGTACTCCAGTGCTGACACTATTTCTGCACCGTAGAATCGCGCTCTGTCTTCTGTAAACACTCGGTCCCGTGATAAGTGAAAGAAGAGCTGCGGAGAAATGACAAAAATAAAAACAAGAACAAAAAACAAAAAGAGCAGTAACACGAGGAGAAACATTTACCTCTCCTCCGTTTGCATACTCCATGACGAAGCAGAGGCGGTCGTGTGTTTGAAATGCATACTTTAGTGTCTGTTCAGAAAGAGGGACAAACAAACGTTTGTGGCTGAACTCATTGGACTAAACGGTTTCTCGATCGCAGACGCGCGTCGGTAACTCACTGTTAGAAACGGGTGCCGGGTGTTTTGGAGAACTCTGCTCTCTGTGACGGTGTGTGCCACCTCGTCCTGGAAGAAAACACCAAAACAGAGAGTGAGAGGTCGCCGGATCACACGTCCACCGAGAGATTAAACCAAGGTGACCACAGACATCAGCGTCACGCTAATCCCAGAGCCAGATTGGTGCAAAAGTGGAAATAGGAGCGGAGGATTTTTCCTCAAAAGCTGTACTTTAGTACACACACAACAAAGAAGTACATTTTGAATAAAGTACAAGAAAAAAAACACACAGACACCTAAGAGAGGAAACCACAGTTGGCAGTAAACACACGTGACAGGAAGTAGATGTATATCTATGTATATCTATGTATATATATATATATATATATATACACACACACAGTATATATATATATATATATATACTGTGTGTGTGTATATATATATATATATATATACTGTGTGTGTGTATATATATATATGTATATGTATATATATATATATATATATACACACACACAGTATATATATATATATATATATACTGTGTGTGTGTATATATATATATATATATATATATATACATATACATATATATATATACACACACATACAGTATGTATCTATATATATAGATGTGTGTCTTCCATTCTGCTTCAGAAGCAGAGTCCTGGGTTCAATTCCTGGAGGAACCACATACTTGATGGTTAATCCTCTTCTTGTTTTACAATTGGAAAAAAAATATTTTGAACATTTTAACAGAGCCATTAAATTCAGATTAAAGCATTAAACCTGACAGGAAATGAACTATAAAAAAAATTACATATAAATACAAATACATTACATTATTATATTATACTCTGTACTCTGTAGTACTCTGATTTTTCTTTTAGACTTGATATTTTACTTTAAAAACGAAGCAATACAAATATTAAAATTTTTCTTTTAAGATGTACTAAATTTTTTAGCAAAGACGTCTGGGCCTAATCTGGCCCCCTGGCCATAGTTTTTGACCTCACTCATTCAGTCATTCAGTTTGTAGTGAAGTACCTCGCACTTACTTTAGCGATGATGACTTCTTTACGGAGGATTTTCATTGCGTAGTACATCCCCGTGGCCTTCTCCTTTACCAGGATGACTTTGCCAAACGTCCCTTTGCCGAGCAGCTTCAGGTAGTCAAAGTCGCTCATGGTCTGAGGGAAGAAGTGACCGAGATCAGCAGAGGGAATCATTCCATGAGTTAAATGTTACATCTGATTAAAGATCTGAATGACATGATTCACAAAAAAAAAAAATATAATTTAGTCAGAGGATTACTGGTGTATCTGTATTGTCTGCTAAAGTGTATAACTTATTCTGCTGATGTCATGAACAGTAACCAACACAAGCAACACAACATGACGTGACTCAATAGTAAAAAACAAATACAGTTGGTAAAATTGAAATAAAAACTTCATTTTTAAAATAAATAAATAAACTGAACTCTTTAAAGAGAGAGACACTTAATGAAAAATATAACAGCTAACAAACCACTGAATATTTCTTTGATTGAAGAAGTGGACACTGATGGATGGAAGAAAAAAATAATATTCACTCAAAATACTTTGGTATACTACTATTATACTTTGGAATACATGGTTTGGCCCATAAATATATTTGTCTTGGACACAAGAAGTCCAGCTTCTCTAAGAAAAAAAAAACATCTTTACCAGTGGGATAAATCATCTCCACCTGAACTCTAACATTAAATGACTCGATCCAGTCTATAAACCAGTGGTGCTGAAACTCCATTTTGTTTCTTCTGTTATTCTAGGGCGTAGAATAATAGGAGAGGGTAAACACACTATTGTGTTACATAAGACATTTTTAAATATCATGACAACATATGTTTATAACTGTGACGTTTGCTTAACCAGCAAAAAAACGACACCAGGAGTTCTGTGCGTGGAGCTCATCTTTTTTCGTCGGGTCAGACGTTTAAATACGAACCACTTTTGTGTGAGATTTGGACACGGCGATCTCCATCTCCTCTGTGCCACTGTTGTCGCTCGGGGAGCCAAATTTGATCTCCATGGGCTCCTCGTCCTGCTGCTGACTCTTCAGGCTGTTTGCCACCGTCTGGATCGATCGCATCCATTCCTCCCTGACCCGGGAATGAAACACACACATCCCGACCCCCCCCTCGATTACATTCAGCCAGTGCCATTTATAGGATTGAGTAAAACAACAACAGAAAAACATTGTGTTAAGATTTTCTTTTTCTTCAAATTGCTGTAACAGAATAGTGACTCGAAAGGAAAAAACAGCGAGTACAGTTCAGAAGGTGGAGGATAATCTGTACCGTTCCGCTGGGGAACGGTGGGATTTGGTACTTGGCAGAGGCAGTGTAAACAAAATTCAATGATGATTGCTTGGGTCAGAGTGAATAATCAGGTCAAATCTGGCAGTAAATTCTATTTTGAGCATGTCGGCCCGTCCTTCTGCTCCCACAAACTGGAGTGAGTTCCACTGGCTGGAGAGAACAATGGCCCATTTGGGCTTTTAGTGATTGAGTTGAAGAGAATGTTCTTTTCTATTTTCATTCAAAATTGACCAACTGGCAGGAGGAAAGAGAGATAACACGACTGCCATGTCAGCACGTTTTTTTTTTAGCAAAAATAATCTTTTGTATGAGCTACAAATTACAACCAGGTGTTTCCTTTACCTTTCCTCGCTGCTGTCCACGTGAAAAGTGCGCTCGATAACCGAGGTCCACTGGAGGCAGCGGATGACGAACGTGTTGGGCCTGGGACGCTCCGTCTTCATCAACTGACACTCTACACAGGACAGACACGTCAGACAACAGACACGGAAACTCTCCTGACACCGATCGAGTGGGCACGACAGCAGATACGAAAACTCTCCTGACACCGATCGAGTGGGCGACTGACCCGCGACAGAGAAATTGTTGAGTGGTGGAAGGCTGTGGTCGCTGGACACCTCAGGCTTCTCCTTGTAGCCAATGAAGGAGCCATCGCTCTTTAGGATGAAGTAACGAGGCCGCCAGGTTTTAATGTATTCACCTGGAGAAGACGGACAGAAGGCGGTGAAATGGAATTTTACCACCGAATCCCACAGTTTCGTGGACAGCGGACAGGACTCACCTCTCTTGTGGAGCCATCCCTCTCTCACGACACTCACTTCATTCATGCTGGGGCAGAGGACTGTCGGGGGCAGAAGAGGGCTGCAGACAAGCTGGGGGCAACTGTGCAAACTCTTCCTGTTGGTTTGATGTGTGACAGTGGCTCAGCTACAAAGACCTGTAGAATTAAAGAAGAGGGCGAGGAAATGACTGGATATAAAAGGGTTTTCATTCATTATATATATACTTATATACACATATATACATATATATACATATATACACATATATATATATATATCTCAAAATATATTAAAAAAATACCAAGGTACTTGTTGACATTCGCAGACAATGATTAATCCTGTCATTTGTTTATTTATATTTCTTGCCATTGTTGTGGCATTGACTTTTCTGAACATTCTTCTCCTTTTTGTTGATCATCAACACGTGTTTTTTTTTTTACCCCAATCCCAAAATAATTTCTTCTCTTCTTGCCATGTGTTTTGCCAAAACCGTCACCTCTAAGTTTTTCCTGTAAATGTACGTTTGTGTGAAGGAGTTAAGGTTCAGCATGTGTGAAAACCGCAGTGGTCTCGAAGAAAAGTGAAACCAAAGGCAGTGTTTACGTAAACAGAGTGAAACTGATTTCTTATCAAACAGAGAACTTTCTGGAAACTGCTTCTTCTTACTTCTCTCCCCACTGTTTACCGCATCACACTCGAATGAGCTCTGGAGCTACAGGCTCTCGGTTTACTTGAAAGACAACACCAAAACAAAAACAAAATAAAAACTGCTGAAATCCACACATCCAAGCTCAACCCTTATATCTGCCTATCTGATCCGACGGACAGCGACACCCAAACTGAGACCAGAACAACTAACACCAAAACAAGGTGGGCCGAATAAAAAAATCAAAAACAACAACTGTGGAACCAAACTGTGGAACCAAATAACCAAAACATTTCTGTGAACACTCATCAACCACGGCTTCTGCTGGTGGTGGGAGGAGAGAACTTGAAATTTATGGTCAGTCGTGAATGAACAGCTGATGTTAGATAACATGTTAGATAAGTATACTTCAATAACAGGGATGGAAATTATTATTTCTCAATATTTGCAGCAAAAAAAACCCCACAAGCTCTTGATGGATTAACAAAAAAATAAAAAAATGTTGTGGTCAATATGACTGTTTCTAGAAACCTAACTGTGCGATTCCGAACATCAACTTTTTAAATCACACCCCGCACCCTCTGCTATGTTTCACCAAGGAGGTGCTATGAATCATGGGGAGTTCCTTTCTTATGTGTCCACACAACACTTCCTCCTCAAAAACTTCAGGCTGTTTCATGTACTTTTTTTGCCAACTGTAACTGATCAATAATTAGGGATGTCAGATATTGTGTTTTTGCCGATATCTGACATGCCGATGTTGTCCAAACGCTTATTTTTCCGATTTGCTTGGCCACAATAACAAAACATCACTTTCACTTTCACTTCAAAATTATTATAAACTGGATAGATTTTCAGATTGAATCCCAATTAGAGATAACAAAATAGATCGTCCAATAGGAGCCTGGTTACAGGCAATTGTTTGTTGTGCGCCTAGCAACTGTAAAAAGAAGAACTATTTAGGAGAAATATTTGTCAACTTCCTATATAAATATTTGTAAATGTCACAAACAAAAGTTGACATCCTCATTTTTCACACAGTTTTTTTTTTATTCTTACAGCTCCTTCTGAAAACCATCAGGTCTCGCTCTTAAGCACATTTCCAACCATCTTAACCTTGTCTCTCGATCCTTATCGCTAAACTGCTCAACCTAAGCCGACCCTCTAATCTGCTAAATTCTAATCCCGTCCATCCTGGATGCTCATTACAAAAACATCTTAGTATTCTGAAGACACCTCCAGCTCAGCCCGTGTCGTACAGATAACGGTGCCAACTGTATCTAAACACAGGCATGTCACAGATCTCACTATTGTCCTGTCAAGAAACATTACTCCTTTACACA